GAAGATGAGTTCTTTGTCTTGAGACTTTAATTGTGTCTATCCCCTTTCTACTTCTAACCAACCGTGATATATTGTCAGCAGTTAAAGCAAGAAAATGCGGTGACATCTCAGGCGACTACATGTTCTCCCCAGTCTCTTACTTCACTCTCACCACATTTGGTGCTCCTACTTGCATCTTCATAATATCTCTGGGTAAACTCATCTCTCCCAAACCGATGGGGTTCTATTTAAGGCAGAGAATAGTCTACCAATTATTGAATAGCAATTTTCTATATTTGTTAATTCACTCTTTGTAGGGCCATTCCCCATCAATTATATTTATAATGTTTTTCCCTCCTTCATTCTTCTTTTCCCTAAATTAATGTTATCTTATTCACCCCAGAAAAAAACCCCCGAAAAATAATCTCCTGAAAAATAAACACTTAGAGAGTATTTTTTTAGTTATCAAATTTGACGCTATAATTAACACTTTGTAAAATTATCTCATACATAACATAAGATTGTTACAGAACAAATCACATAATTTTCTACTTTTTGAATAAAATTTTTTCAGAATAATTTATTTTGAAGGTTTATATTAGAACTCACTGTTTTTCGTATACTTAACAATATATACAATAACACTATTATTTAATTGGTCTCTTAGTTGTGAGGGTCCACTTATGGTATGCATCAAATGTTTTTCATGTCATTTTTTTTGAAAATATAAAAATGTATCCTCCCTCACTCAGACATTTCTTCAAAATCGAAAAGGGGTGGGGAGTTTTGAGAGATGTTTTGTTATAAGAATTTATGGGAGTTAGGTAAAGTAGATGCGGGGGGAGGTAAAGGGAGAAGTAAATGCGGATTTGAATTTTCCTTTTTAGCTGATTTTCATTTGGAATTTTTTTTCTTTGATTTTAAATTTGGATTTAAATTTCTTTTTTGCTAATTTATTTAGATTTACTTTCTTGAAGGAGAGGGGAATGGGGGGGGGAGGGGAATGGGGGGGGGGTTATTTCATACTTATATTTTAGCAGACTATGGCATTCGATAAATAAATTTATAAACGAGTGCCACAATCATTATTTATCATATTTATTTCCTGATCTATTATACATTATGCATGGATCTCGAAAAATTGGAATGATTATTAATATGTTCATTATTTATCATATTTATTTCCTGATCCATTATTAAGGCTGTGCCGATATTAAATATAGGATCGGCACGGATATTTAACGTTTTTCAAAATATCGGATCGGGCCGATACCTGTAAAAAATTGATCCGATCCTCTTACTTTTATTTTTTTTTGTTATTTTAGGCGGCGTCCTAAATCTTAAAAATTATAAATAAATAAAATAATAAATTTAGAAGAAAAAAATAACATAATCTATGTTAAATGTAAAAATAAAATGATGTCCAATTTCATTTATCGGTATAAAAATTTATTTTTTTAAAAAAATAATTAAAATAAATAAATTCGAATAAAAATTTATTCAAAATTTATTTATTTTTGAAATTTTTATAAAAAATTAGTAAGCACAAAATTTAATGCTGTAATTTTTATTTTATAAATTTATTAATCCAAACGATTTAGTCTTTTATATTAATATATTTTTTAGTATCAGAATATAATTTTATGGAAAGCATAAAAGTGCAAAGGAATCTCTGGTACAAAAATGACTTAAAATTCAAAGATTCTGTAGAAAATTTGTGTGGAAATTGGAAAAACATATAAACTGAATTATGATCACTATGTTCAGTCCTATCTTTAAATATTATATAATAAATAACTAATAATTGAATCATATCAAGCATTTAAAATATTTTTTTTTTTTTAACAATGCAACTGCACAACACCCTTTAAATTTTATTTATTTTTTAAAATAGATTTATAGTATTTTAAAAGTTTTATAGAAATAGAAAGGAACACCCAAAGTTTTATTTATTTTAAATATGAGATCTGAATTATGGAAATATTTTACAAAAGACAAAGATAATTTTTCAAAATAAGTTATCTGCAGAATTCTAATTTCACGGGGAAGAATAATGAAAAATTCATTTAATACTAGCAATATCCTTAAACTTTTTTTAATTATTGTAAAAATAAAAAAATAGGGCTGTGCCGATCCTCATATTTTTCACCGATCTGATCCGATATTGCAAAACCAATCCGATAGCAATATTGATTTCCCCCCCCCCTTCCCCCACCCCACCTTGAACCAAATGTAATTAAGAAATCAATATTTTTTATGCAAAAAGTCGAATTATGCATTTAAATTAATTTTTTTATTTCTGCATTATTTAAAAAAAGCTTAAGGACTAGTACTAAATGAATTTTTCCTTATTCCTCCCCGTGAAATTAGAATTACGCAGATAACGCATTTTGCAAAATTATCTTTGTCTTTTGTAAAATATTTCCATAATTCAGATACCATATTTAAAAATAAATTTAAAATAAATAAACTTTGGGTGTTCCTTTTTATTTTTATAAAACTTTTAAAATACTATAAATTTATTTAAAAAATAAATTAAACTTAAAGGGTATTGTGCATTTGCATTCTTTAAAGAAAAATTATTTAGAAAATATTATTAATGTAAAATAAATTTATATAAAATAACAAAAAAAAAAGAAATGTAAAAAGATTGAATCTGTTTTTACAGGTATCGGCCTGATCATTCGATTTTTTGCATAAAAAATATTTATTTCTTAATTACATTTGGTTCAAAGGGGGGTAGTAAAAAATCAATATAATTTCGGATCGGTTTTGAAACAATGTCGGATCGGTGTGAAAAATATGTGGATCGGCACAGCCCTATCCATTATATATAATGCATGGATCTCGAAAAATTGGTATGATTATTAATATATTCATTATTTATTTTTTAATTATGGGATAACATCGTAATCAGAGGATGCCTATACGATTTGTGTCAAAGAATACATATAAAAATTCAGAAGGCCTGAAAAGCCAATAAAGGGCCGACAAAACTCTAAACTTTTTTTTGACATGAAAGACAGCTTAGCATATGTTCCGGTATGTGATATGGGCAATGCAATGATATTTCTAAGAAAGATATTCAGAACAATGGTAAGGATATTTGTCAATTATTCCGATTAAATTATTTCAATGAAGTATCAAGGAAGGTCGCAAGAGGTAATTCTCAGTCTAAAACAAGTGGAATTGAGCCTCGACCACCGGAAACCTTGAACATGAGAACACACAATCAATCGATGTGAAGGTTATAATTATCGTTTATCTAATCTGGTTGGAAATAAACACCCATTAATCTGGATAATTTTAAAAAATGAGGTGGCTACCGATGAAACTAAACTCGAACGATGGCGTGTGGATAGATTGACACCGTGTACAAAATCGCAGAGCTACAATATCTTAGGGTAAAAAAAATGAGAGGAATCTAGTGATGGAGTGCGAAGCCTTACAGATTTCATAAGAACATTATTATTATTATATATTTATTTTGTATATACATAATTATATTTACCTAATAAAATTCGTATTATAAAATGTTTAGTAATTGTGGATGGATATTTTATTTCTAATGTAATGAATTTAAAGGTCAGAAAAGAATAATAATAGGATAATTTTTATAAAAAATACGAGATCTTTATTCCTAGTACAATTTATTGCATGTAAAATTTTACTATATATTTAGTTTATAAGGCCATATTATATTAATAACTTTCTGAAATTATTTACGATTCCGATGGGTCATGATAAGAGGTGAACGCGGACCATGAAAAGTGACACGGTGGATTATGGCGGGAGCACAAATGAAGTATTTCAAGCTAAGTTTGTTATCAATATGAATTTAAGGACATTTTTTTTGACAAGGGAAATTACGAAAAGAAAAACGGGAGATAATATTAAATGTATAGTGTATATTTGTGATTGATAATGGAATCAGGCACGTAAACAAGGGTGGGGGAGATAGCCTGTTCCCTTAAACATCATTTTAAGCCAATATAAATTCCCGCTCCCCAAAAAATGCATATAATGAGTCATTGAAGAAGAAATTGAACGAAAAATTAGTAAAAGTTATTAAATTTTTAAATAACGACTATAATTTATAATTTTTAGAAAATAACATCCTTATAAAAAAAGAGCGTGTAAACCCTAATTTTATAAAAATATAATATAGCCAAAGGCCTACAATAAGTGAACATAAAATTTGTGGCGGAAACCCCAATAATGTTTTCTCTATGGGAAAATACTATATACGCATATGAATGGCATAAAGTTTATTAACGCGTTCAAAGATTTTATAAGAATACAGTATTTATATTAAATATAATCAATGGCATAATTCAGAAAAATGGAAAGCGAGAAAATTCCCTTTCCTTAGCAAATGGTATGTTATTGTAAATCTAAATATGATTAATCTATTTTTTAAAAATCCGCCTACAACCCCCCCCCCCCCCCCATGGAACTTAAGGGAGAAATATAAATAATAAGTGTGGTTAAACGGCAGTCACTAGTAACTTTTTTACCTTAGGTCGTCAGGAAAAGCTTAAATTTTGAGAGAATATCATTTTCATACTCCCTTTACGTGACATGAATATTTATGGTGGTATAAATTTTTTGAAAACTGCCCTTTTATCTTTTAAATTTTTTGTCACTATACAAGAATAATTTAAAATTTATATATGTCCAAAATTGTCTAGATTTTCAAATAAAAGTGATACTTTTAACTCGTAGAAGTGATGCTAAAGTTTTTTTAAATAAACTTAGAAACAACTGGGCAAGGCAGTATGGTAAAACCACACTTAAATTTAATGGGTTAATATTAGGTCTGTGTTTCCGGTATGAGGAGGTAAGCCATAAACTTGCATGAAATATTATTATATGTATAATAATATGCAAACAATATTATAACGTTTTTAATTCTTACTTCTCATTAATTTGCTTTTGCAATCTCCTAAATCATATTGACATAATTTTTCTTTCTATTGTTTGGCTAACTATGCGAAACTCTATGCCGTTAAGAAGCTTAATTATTCAACTAATCATTTTTATTTATATAACATATACATTCAAAATGAAACGTGATTAAAAAGATATAAGTTATATATTAAAAAATTTGAAAAATATAATTTTAGATCTTTTATATAAAATCTCACAAAAAAATATCATATATTATTATTAATAAAAAGTAATGAAGATGTAATAGCCACTAAATTACGATTTCTTATATATTAAAAAACAGATAAAAATATAGTATTATATTATAATGCTATTTGATCATTATAATAATATAAACGATGCAACGAAAAGTGGCTCAAATTATTTCTGAATTGATTACGAATTGAAAAGATCAATAGAGCATATGGAATGGATACCACTACTGTTGGAGGAAGTGGAGGAAGCTTGAGACCATCTCGATATGAGCTTATTGTCTACCTGAATGCTGTTGATATTTAGTGTATCGTTACTCTTCGCGGCTGAATTAATAGTATCTTGACATGAATCGAAATCGTTTTCGAACTGATTATAACCCATGTGTAGAGCTGAAGGGTTGGTAGACAGATTTTCCTTGTAATTAGAGGTTATATTAATGACAACTTTCAAGGAATAATTATTATTCTTGTCTTTGTCATTTGTACCGACATCTAGAACGGGCTCTTTTTTAAGGTAAAACGTTGATTTCTGGGGATTTTGGGATATATTATGAGAAATATTTCTGGCTTTTGAATGGTGGGGAGGAATAAAAAATTGGGACGAATGTAAGTTATCATCTTCATCATGTTTTCTTGGCCCCGACCTACGCAAAGAAGCATATTTCTAAAATAAGGATTTTTAAAAAAAAATAAATATTAGTAATATATAATATAAAATAGATGCAAATAATTATTTTGATCGTGAATTAAATTAACTTGAAAGTTCGAGACCGCTTTGGTAGCCTTTTCAAATGCTTTGAATATTTTTATTATATTAAAATTATTTTATAATCATCTTAAAAAATAATTTTAAAAAAGTCTATTAAAATCAAAAATATTTATATTTTAATGTTGGTTTAAAATCTAACAAAAATTTATTACCGTTATAAATGTAATATCTAATTTCGAAAATTACTCATGTATTTTGATAAAATTATATTCTTATATTTTAATAAATGATCAAAATTTTTTTATAGTTTATAATGAACATCAACATTTGTAGAGTTTAAAGACACATAACGACAACATCTATTTTTTTAAAAAAAGCTTTTAATAAACTAAAATTCATGTAGTTTTTAGGGGGAAGGGGGGAGGGGAGGTTAGTTTTATATAAAGTATTAAAATAAATTTATTTTAAAAAACCATTTTGGGACACAAAGGATACCATCTTTGAGGTTTGAAAATTTTCAGCTTCGCTATCCGGTAACAATAAAGTTGGCATAGATTTCCTTATAATACAACATATTACATATTGGAAACATTTATTCAACTAGATATAATAATTGAACTGAATTGTTTTATAAATACCGAATAATTTTTATAAAATCTATAAAAAAAACCTCTCAAAATTTTGTTCAACTGGTTTCGATTTATCGACGCATTCGAGAAGAGCCTGAAACCAAGCAAGTTTCTGAGTGTGATTTAGGAATTTTAGTTTACAAATAATATGCGAACGATTAAAAAAAGAGTTATCGCATTTTTCTAGGATAAGATCATCGTTTTTATCACCAATTCTTTGGAGGTAAGATTTAAAAAACTCGTTGTTTCTTGTATGGTCGAGATAAGCTTCATTCAAATCGGATAGCTTAAGCACGAGTTTGATAACCAAATCGTTATGTTGACTTTTTGAATTGTAGTTGACAGTACCGTAATTGATGATTTGACTTTCGTAAGATACAGGAATGTTATCACTGGTGACGTTATTTGAAAATTTTGGAATACTATCGATTATCTTGATATTTGAACACTTATTATATAAAAAAATTAATAAAAAACATAAATGTGGTCAAGTAGAACTAGAGTCCCACATTTGGAAAAAATATTTATTTTCCGCATAACAATTATCTAATCTTTTTTAAAAATACCCCTTCTCTTCATGGGAAACTTTCCCCTACCTCTCCATAATAAATTTTAAACTTCCCATAAATAGGAAAAAATTATCATCTTTTATATATTAAATTTTTATAGTCTCCCCTCAAAAATTATAGCTATAAACCCAGGTAATAAAAACTACCATAATATAAAATGTTATTTATTCTTTTATGATGATGAAAAGGTGAAGATTGAATTCCTGAATATAAATAATTTGATTTTATATAAAATAAAAATTCTCATATTCCATAAAAAAGCATAACTTGGGCAGATAATACATATAAAATTAGGGTCAAAATTTAAGGAGTAAAAATATTACTAATAAAAAAATTATCAAAAACCAATAATAATATATTGATTCTTTCGTTTTCAATAAATACTCACTGGTAAGGCATTCTTAAAACTGTAGCATTGTCTTGCGCGGTCTGCCATTTTAACGTTATCGTCCGCATAATTCCTACGTTTTTTCTTACATATTAAAAGCATGTGTTCAAACAAAAAGGCGTAACGGATTTTGTATACATCCCCGTGTTTAATTTCTTTTTGCCTTTCGGTAAGTTTAGATTTAATCTGCATAACTTCCAAATCTCCATCCAAAACCAGCTCACCAAAAGAATTAAGGAGTTGTAAGATATCTTTGTTGCTCTTAAATTTTTCCTTTGTACAATATATGTAATATTACAAAAGTTCAAAAAAATATATAATATAAAATGAATTATATTAATGAGTCTAATTTTATTTTCAGATTCTAAATTTGGCAAATCCAATGACCCTGTCGGCTAATTCGGCTCAATCTTCAAGCGCCATCTGAAGAAAATCCGTTAATATTAAGGCGTTTTAATTTTGCTATCTTTTTAAGAAAAACCCCGAGGTCAAAGTGATGGCTTAAAGGGTTAAAAATATAGTAATTACCTAATTATAGTAAGGGAAGGCTGTGTGTTTTCGCTCATCATTTTTAATATGAATATGAACAATTAAAAATTCTGACATATCTTCGACGCATTCCCAAATAATTAGTCAATACAAAAAAATTGTCTGGTCATAGTACTCATCACTAAATTAGAATCCGAAACTATAAATCTAATAAAACCCCTAGGCTCGTGATATGTATTAAATTGTTGTTTTTGTTATTTTTTGTAAAATGTTTATTTTTATTATTATATAATTTGATATGAATTTGAATAATAAATTATGATTTTTATTTTGGATACTAAATAAAAAAAATGAAAGAATTCTACTAGAAATACATTACAAAAGATTTCGATATTTTATTACTACTAAAAATACATTACAGCTCACATAGCTCAAAGACTGATCTAAGCATAAACTGCAATAAAACTATCATCATTCCGTCATAAGCGCACAAATAGATCGCCAAACAGTTGACTCAAATGAAACAAAACGAACTTCAAATATCACTTCAAATATCTAGGAGTAAACATAAAGAATAAATGGAATACAAAGGTAGAAATAGAAACTAGAATAAAAAATATCAATATTACTTATAAAAAATATAAACTCTAGTCTTCAAAAGAAATTTCCCTAAAAAAAATGCATCAGAATGCTTAGCTTTACAGTAGATTTGGGTCGATTTACCGGCCCGATTAAAATTTAGCCAAAATAATATTATGTAAGCCTCGAGATTCGGCAAATAAGAGTTCATACCTTTCTACCACATAATATTATTTTGGTCAAAACTTCAGGCCGTTTTTAAAAATCGCCTCAAATCGGATTGTTTAACAACGCTACTTCAGTCATCCCACTCTTATATGGCAGCCACACTTGTAATGCAAATAAAAAGAAGATAAAGTAGGTGCTAACCTTTATTAATAGATGCCTAAGCAATAAAGACTATATGCATACCAGAATCATATGAAACAAAAAATTATGGGTAACGGTCACGTTCCAACCTAAGTGATACTAAGCTAAGAAAAAATTAAACTCCTTGGCCACATACTAAGGAACCATATGATGCTCTTTTTCGCTTAACTCATACAGGAAACAATTATGGATTCTATAAATCATATTGGGCAGATTAAAATAAAACATGAACAATTTACGAAATTAAACAATAAAAAAATGCACATAAAAAAAACTCTTAAAAACTAATAAAAAAATATATAAAACACTAAAAACCCTGATATTATTCAACCCCAAGTAACTATATATAACTTTAACTTATATAAAATTTCATTATAAAGCTATCTGTCATAACCAGGGTTGCCAGGTCAAAATTTTCGAATTGCGGGAATCTGGTGTTTTGCGGGTGAAATATGAAAATTGCGATAGAAATAATAAAAATTATTAAAAAATATTTTTTAGTGCCGGCCTTCGGCCGGGATTATGAATTAGCTTAATCATCTCCCTATTAATTCTTGTAATTACTTTATATTCGTGTTGTAAAGTAGTGTCAAAATTAACGTCGTTACTTTTTTGAAGAAAAGGAACGCCATTCGTTACCATCTTCTAGAGGTAACGAGTAACAGTAACGCGTTTCTTGTTTATGAGTAACGGTAACGCAAAACGTTACTTTAAATTTTTTCTTAAAAAAAACATGTTTTAATGTACTATAAAATTACTTTTATAATTTAATATAAATAATTTAAGCCGAGTTTTTAATTCATATCAACCACCACTCCTTTTTTTATTTTAAATTCTCGTTGTTAAATTATCAGTCGAATGTTAATATAATTAATATTCAATCAAAATTCAAAGTAAATGTTAATGTTAATAATAATATTATTATTCTATTTTATAATTTATTTTAAGAATATTATGTCCATTGTACTTAATTCTTCAGATGAAGATGATTTAAACCCCCCCTCCACTCCCAATTTGAAGTATATTTTACACCAATAAAGAAAACTAAGGGTACAAAGTCTACACTTTGTAAATGTAAATTATGTCCCAACGCAAATATTTCAACCTCAATGTCCAGCAGTTCAAACTTAAAAAACATATGAAAGTAAAAAGATGAATTAATATATTTTAAACATTACTTTAATAGAATATTAAATCATGGGTATTATAAAATAACCATTAAAAGAAGTATTCTTTCATAATATTTTGAAACGCTCAATCATGAAATTAAAATATAATCAATTAAATTATACTATAGTGTAGGACTGAGAACCAAGATCAAGAAAATATTGGTATTGGTTCAAAATATTATATTGGGTTTAAACAATATGTTCTATTTCTTGTTTTAGTATTGCTATTGGTGTAAATTCAAATTGTTAATAAATTTAAAGAATAAAATATAAATATTTATATGGAATAAAACTATGAAGCAATATTGTTTTAGAGAACTGAGCCTAGATATTTTTCCTGATTCCTTTTTAAATGGTAATTCTGAAAAGATAAGAAATTGAAAAATTATCTTTGGCAATTTTTAAGGCTTTCCTTGACAATAAGCTTAGTGAGAGATTAAAAAGTGCAATTAAATTTTTAAAAGATTTATCTTTAAAGCTAAGTTATTTTTGATAAAAAATTCAGGAATTAAAAATATTTTAATTAAAAAATTATAGACTGTATATTCCTCAAAAATGAAAGTGATTAATGAACATGTGAATAGCAATAAAAAAAATTGAAGCCAATCAACTCACACTCATTGAGATGCAGAATCCACCTACATCAAAGATAAAAATAGCACAATCAGCTGTTGATAAATCAGTTTTTAATTTTCTAATTAAAGAATTACAACCATTTTTAAATGTAGAAAATAGTGCATTTATTAATATTATCAAAAAACTGCAGCTAACTAAAAATGTGATGTCTAGGTCTACTCTCGTATTAAAAATTAACAAAGCATATGACACCATAGCAAAGAAATTAGTTATTATGTATAAAATTGTCCGTACAATTGTAGATTCGTGATCAGCTTATCATCGGTATATAAAATATAAATTCTTATTTAGGGATGACGATAACTGGCTACCCAGACATTCTTGAGAGGGTTTCAGTCTGCTTAGCTTGTGAAAGGCTAAACCAAAAACACACATTTGATTATCTAGTAAAAATAATCTTTGAAATTTTTACCACATATAAGATACAAAATAAAGTGACCAAATGCATTACCGACATTGCTAGAAATTATAAAAGCTTTCAAGAAAAAAAAATTATAATATATTTATTAGAGTATATGAACAAGGTGAGGAATCGGGTATTGAAATAATTCCTCTGCCATTAATTGATCTATTTGAAAATCAAAACACTAATGATAGTATTGTATACTTACCTAAGCAACACTCCTGTTCAGCACATACTTTAAATCTCATTACAAGTGTTGACATTAAAAAGAGGTAACGATGCCCATTTTAAAACCATTTCAAAGATTACATTTTCTAATGTGGAAAAAACATGAGCAATATTCAAACTGTGCATCCAATTTTAAGGAAACATGGGAAGATATCTGATTACCCATGACAAGACGGAACTCTTTTTATAACTATGTGAAATTAATTGATAGTCTTATTAAGGAAATTGCTAAAAAATTGACGAATCTTGTGATAAATCTGAATTACAGAGATATTCAGATAACAACAAGTCGTTCATGGTTAATATTGTATGGTTAGAAATAATTAAGAAATATGATATGTATATATATGATTTTATAGATTATGGAACCGATTGCTACTGCTCTTTCAATTTGGGATATTTCACTTTCACGATAACTATTATAATATTAAAACTTTAAAAAATGGCCTGAAATAATTTCAAGTTTTGTAAGCCGCTTATTAATTCAATCCTGAAAGGCATAGATAAAAGGTATACAGTTCAAATATTACTTGCAAGCTATATTTCGATATCTTTTATTTTCAATAGATTCAAACATATCTATTGAATATATACTATCCGCAATAATTCACCCGCTATTTAAATTGGAATGGCCCTGGATAAAATTAAAGGTCAACAAAGAAAGAATGCTACAACTTATCCAGTTTGAGAAAAGATCTTGATAAAGAAAGAGCAGACTTAATTCCTTTATCCAATACACATACCAGAATATTTTCTGATAGAGATAAAAAAAAAATTTTGAAATGAAGATTGTGAAGACGATCTATTAAGCTATTTTTAAAATAAAGATAATTCTTTAAATATTTTTAATAAATTCCCCGAATTAAAATTTTATTTATTAAATATAATACAACTCTCCCATCTTCTGCGTTATTTAACGAGTGTTTAACACAGTGAAAGGTGTGTTAAGCACTAAGCGCTCTTGTTTGTCTGATCAAAATTTTGAAAATCAATAAAAAATTGCTACAAAAAGATGTTATCTTATATATAATATATTATTTTTGTATAATTTATTTATATTATAATTATATATATGAAAATATTTTTTATAAAAAGATCTTATCTTATATTTTTTTTGTTCTTTTTATATTATTTGCAGGAAAAAAATAAATATATTTTTTGAATATAATATTTAATTTTTAAAGTAACGAGTAACCCGTTACTTTTTTAAATAGTCAGTAACGCGCGTTCCTTTTTCAGAAGTAACGAGTAACGGTAATGCGTCGCTTTTTTGTAGTATCGTTTACAGCACTACTTTATATAAATATTAACAGTCGGTAACGTTTTATAATTTCGAAATAGGAAATATTTTTCAAAAGGAGTTACTTTATTTATATTTTATATAAAAGAAAATATTAATAAAACGAGACAAAATTTTTTAAATTATATCTATATTTATTAAAATATATTAATTCTTATAATAAAAAAACCAACGATCTATTTAAAATATAAAATTTCATAAAAAAACAAACGATTTTAATTTTACAATGTAAAAAATATATTTATTTTATGCGAATGTGTATATAAATAAGGTTTTATAAAATATATAATTAAATAGTTTGTAGTATTTTTATTTGAGATTTAAATAATGGAACTAAACGTTTACTGTCGTTGTTGAGATATTTATAAAATTGCTGGCATGATTATATTTTTTTAACCATTAGCTCGGCCTCTAATGTTGTTAGAGCTGATTACTCTCCTTTCTCCAGGCAGTCCTCATCAGGACAAAAAATGCGCTCCGATGAGGCATTAGAATGAGTTAAAGAGAAATACTGACATATTTTTCCCAAGCATGGGGATTTATCGTTATTACGAAAAAATTTCACCCATTTCTCCTCTGCTTTTAGACCATCTATCTTTAAGTATTCTGGCGAATTATAAAAAATAGAGAGCATTACAATCTCCTCAAACAAGACATCAATGTCTATCGGTATTTTTAATATATTTATCAAAAACCATCTAATCGATGGTTTTTGTTCCAAGGTCATCTAAAAATTTGTAAATCGAGTTATTGAAATCAAATTTTGATTGCAAATATTCTGAATGTCTTAATAAAAATATTTGCTTCATTTAAAAATACATTAATTAGAGTAATATTTGAACATTTTAATATGATATTTTTAACAATAGCACAATAAAATTTATTGTCAATTTCTAACTGTAAAGATGAACACAGTCGCAACATAATTTTGTGAATCTTTATTAAAAAAGATTCGTTTGATTGCAACTGCATATTAACAGCATGTAGTAGATTTCCTACATGTGAAATCATTCCTAAATATGCCTCTGCTATTTAATTCTCGAAAAAATTTTTAAAAATATTAAGACAACTTTTATCATCTTTATTAAAGAAATATTTTTTAAAAGGTTCGTAAAATTTTAAAATTCTATCGATGGCAGGTATTAATGATAACCACCTGATAGGGAGATGTCGCAACAACATTCCAAGTCAGACCACTCCACCAACTCTTCTAATTCATTAACTTTTTTAGTTGATGAACTAAATTCGTTAAAACATTTCATTACAATTATACTACTTAGTATTCTTGTACGCGCACTTTATCCTTTCTTGTTACCCCAGCAATCATCCTGAGCATTCTCATCTCCATGGTTTGTAGACTTCTCTCGTCTGATTCTTTGGTTGGCCATGTTTCCGAACTATATAGAATAGTTGGTTGTATTATATGGAACTGTAATTTTTCCCTCTTTTCTCTATTTACTTTTAATCCGTGCGTTTCTACTTTCTTTCATTTCATCCTTAGATTCGGCAAGTATCACAATATAATATCATATTCCACGGGACTGCTAATAATACATCTATTACTGTAATGAAAAGAAGTGGGCTGAGAGCCGACCGTGAAGCCTGCTGAAGTACCTGTTGTGCGCTACGGACCATTGTTGTGGCCCATATACATATCCTGTATAGAGTTCTTTTCTCGCTGTTTGGCTAATCTGTATATTTTATTTTGCCCTTCTTTGTTATGTAGTTCTTCGTACATGTCGACGTATCTAGATTTGGCTCTAGCCACCGTTTTTGTAGTTAATCTCTTGGATTTTTTGTATCTTGTCGTCATCTGCGTTTTTGGATTTGTACCATATTTTATAAAGGGCTTTTTTCTCCTGTATAGTGGTTTGTACCTCTTACAGATTCGTTGAGGATAGCTCTAAAATCATCTTTCTCTTCTTCCTTGCAACCCGTTTGAGGGCATATACTGAAAGGATGTGTAGTATTGATTGGACCAATGCAGAGTATCTTCATTAGTCTATCAGAGATTCTGTTGACTTCTACAACTGAGGAGGTTAGATCTTGACTGAGGATGATGCCGACACCGTTCCTATTGCTAACAAGTCCATTATAGTACAATTTATACCCATCTCTTCGTCTCTTGTATGCACGCTATAGCAACTTTACTCTTATTCAACATTGATGCCAATTCTCTCGTCTTACCTTTAAGCGTCCCAATATTCAAACTTGCTAATCTTGTTGTTTTTTCTTTGCTTTGACCTTTACTTTACTTTTCACAGGATGAAGGTCTACACCCTGCGCGTCGCTTGGAGGGAACGCTCTAGCTTTCATATTCATATTTCCATTTGTTTTCTTCATTTTGTTTATTGGACAGGTATCCTTAGCACCCGACTGTCCAGGCCTGTCGGTGATCGGGGTGTCATCTCTAAGCTCCGAAATTCATCATACCATATGTCTTTACACATCAGTCATCGAAGAAAAACTTGAAAGTTTTTATGGTTCTTACCAGGATTGAACCTGCGTCCTTGTTCATACTCGTGTTTCCAAGCGTACATCTTACCCATTAGGCCACCCCGGCGATACATAAAAATGATTTATTATTGGATAAAAATAAAACAGAAATTTACAAACTATACATGTTTTTTGAATAAATATTTAAAATTTATTTTAAAAATATAAAAATAATCAATTATTGTTTCTCAAAATTATTATTTATATATTAAAAACGTTAAAATGCTAAAAAAAATTGTGCTGGAGAAATTTAAAATTGCAGTAGTTTTGCAGAAGTGAGATAACTGCGTGTAAACTAAAAAATTGCGGGAGTCTCCCGCTGATGGAGGGAGACCTGGCAACCCTGGTCATAATTTAAATAATTTTATTGAAATTTTATTTAAAAGATTAATGTATATAAATCTGATATTGACTTAAATGATCTTGAAACAAGCTATTTTATAAATAGATAAAAAATTTAATATTTATAACTTACAGGCCAATTGATAAAGCCATATCGGGCCAATTTTTGGACTTTTTCCAAATTTTCAAGCTTCCTGAGAGCTGAATTGATATCGTGGGCCACTTTCGCCATATGCTGATAAGCATTATTGACAATAGATTTTGAAGTATCAAAATTAATACTTTCGTCGCAAGATAAAGAGGGCCTAAAATTTAATTCAGCTTGGGGGGTGTAATGTTTCTCCAAATTCTGATAATTTAAATATATTTCAAAAATATGATAATTCTAATTTTTATCAAATTGCAAAGTTTATATACCATTGCCAAGAGAATATTTATTTTAATTCAGTACAAAATGCTCGAAAGAGAAAATTATAAGAGAACTTTAAAGAATAATAGTATAATTAGTCATTTTAAAGAAATGTCTCTTTTTTGGATATAAACATTTTAAATTGCTAAAAATTAAAAAAAAATATTAAAATACAATTTATGAGAATACTACATCAAAAATTAATATTTATAAAAAATGTATGAAAACAAATATTCTACTAACTTTCAAAATAAGTGGATATTTTAGGATTCTTTGAATAGGTTTGAGCAAATAGGAATCAATGGGAAGCGAATGAGATAGAGTAATTTGACGTTGTTTTAAGAAATGATCCAGTAATTTTTTACGATAATTTTTATCATCCAGGTGAAATAATAACAAGGTTCTAAATAAATACACAAAAATTCAGAATATATACAATATATGAGAAACCTGCAAAGCTCAAAATTTTATTTATTATTTTAATCCCTGCTTTGTCCCGGATTTTTGAAAATTTCGCTATTTTAAATATTTTAGCTGCATTTGGTAAATCGCGAAGGAAAATTAAAAATATGAGCACTCCGGATTAAAAAAAAATTTTAGGATGGGTTTGTATCTTTTATATTTATGCCCGGTCTGGATTTATAAATTATACCATTTTATAGCCCGATCCAAGCCGAATATACGGGTTGGACCGGGTTCCGAGTCTTCATATTTGCTTGCTTTCTTTTTTCTTTCTATATAATATGCCTTTTCTATTTTAATTATGTTATGCCAATAAAAAACTTAAAAGAATAAGAGCGTTAAAAAAAACCAACCTTTGGTGATATTGACAATATATGTTATAAGCCGTGTGGAAATCGGTACTGTATTCGATAAAAAGTGTGCAAATTTTGTAAGGCTCCCCTTCATAAAATTTGAGGTTTTGGTAAAATTTTCTAAATTGATATTTTTTTACAAATAAAATATCGATTTTTAAATAAACAATTGTCCTTTAATGGTGTGGGCCGGGTTGAAACAGTGCTGTATATAAACCAGGGACGTGAACCCGAACCCGGATACTCGCATTTTGCTGTAACCCGAACTCGGACCCTTTTTACAGGTGGAGGGTCTAAGGACTCTAAGTGTCATAAAAAAATTTTATAAATATTTTTATAATATAAATTTTATTAACTTTTTTAGTGGAATCATTTATTTTATCTTCGCGTTTTTCTTTCAATTTTCTTCCTGGACTTCCATTTTATTTAGAGATTGATATCATAAATTATTTTCTAGTGTAGGTAATAGTTCATTATGTAAATTTATATTGGCTATTAATGATTGCCTAAAAAATAATCACTTTAAAACTATTATTGATAAAGCAAGGGATGTTGCAAAATATTTAAGAACTCCTACAGTTGTAAGAATGTTAAAATCAATGAAAAGGTCAATGGCAATATTAGATTGTACAACACGTTGGTCCTCAATTTGTATGATGCTAGAACGATTATTAAGTTTGAAAGGTTCCTGTAATGATTTTACTATAGAAACATGTGAGTCATTTTGTCGGAAAATGATTGATGCCAAATAAAAGAAGTGTATTAGTTCCTTTAAAAATAACAACATTAAGATTACAATCGGAACAATTATGTTTATCTGATTTTTATGGCATATGGATTAGATACCGATTAGATTTAGAAAGATTTACAAGTCCTTTTTCATATGAAATATTAGATAACATGAAAATTCGAGAGCAACAATATTTGCAAAATAGTGTTGTATAAGCTTCTATATATCTAGACCCTCGATATCAAGTTTTATTGAGTATTGAGCAAAAACAAATGGCTATAGACCATCTTGAGGATTTATGGCATACGCAAAACTCCGTTATTTACAATATATTGGAGGCTAGATAGTGATAATAATGATAGCAACATTGATGATATTGAAATTTTACTTAGATAGAGGGGGAAAAAAATCAAATTATCATCAAATAGAAAGGAGGATCAAAAAAATGCCTATTGCATCTTTAATAGAAAAGTTCCGAAGTTAAGAGAATAAAAAGAATACACATATTTTGAAATTCTGGGAAGAAAATCCTTCAATATATCTAGAATTATATATATTGTTTAGAATCGTCATGGCTGTACCGGCGACACAATTACAATAATTTATGTATTATAAAGATAACTATATATTTTAAGTGAGCGTAGAAAGTGAATTTTCATCTTTGAAATATATATTGTCTAATTTACGTGGAAATCTCAAGGATGATATTTTAGAAGATATTATGATTGTGCGATTGAATATAACATTTAAAATATAAATTAATTCATTTTTATAATTTGTAAATTATAAATGTGTATCTATTGAAGTATAATAATAAATGAATGAAAAAAAGTCTTATTTTGAGTCATTATTATATTCCCTGAACCCGGGCCCTTTTTAAATTTACCTAGACCCTTTTTTATTGTCGAAGGGTTCATATCCCTGTGGTGTACCCTCGTTCTAAAAAGGGTTCGGGTTCTGGTTCAATGAAAAATCCCTGAACCAGGTTCGGGTTCGAAGTTAAGAAAAATGAGAACTTATAAAATTTAGTTAACATAACAGACACCCGTTTTTTTTTAAATTTATTTTATTATATCAAGTTTCACCATAAAAATAATTTTCTTCATAATTATAACTAGAATAATACAATACTTAATAATATTATACATTTGTATTAAAAATTTCATTTAAGCGAATTATCATATATTCAAAATATAATAATTAAGGGAATAAATAAAAAACAATTCTTAAACCATAAATTTAAAAAACGATTCGAATTCAGGGTATGGATTCTCATCCCTGGTTGAACCAGCATGTATTTTCGTATTATTAACGATGCAGTCCTAAAAAGTAATGCCATAGGTCAATTAAATAAAATGCTAACGAGATAAAGTAAAGACCTTAGTAGCGCTTAAAATTTATAGGGGTTATATAAAATTAAAAAGTAATTTTATTTAAGGAATTTTATGGTCAAGCCAATGAGATAAAGATTTTTGTCAACTTTCTATTTCTATGCTTGAATAAGCATTTATAATATACTTATTCATTTTATAGTATGCATGAGATCAACGAATCTTTATTATATAAAAACCTACCTAAGTATGTAAAACATGTGCAAAATAAATATTTCATATCGTTATCCTTGTTAAATCTATAAATTTTCGCTTTTTTAAAAAAATTAATTATATATTCGTAATAAAGAAATATTTTTTAAAATCATGAAAATTGTATTGCATGCAAATTAATATTATATAATATCGAGCTGACTTGAGATAAGTAATTTTAAAAAACCATTTGGTAATTCATATTCATTAATAATTTTATTTATTAATGTTGCAACTTGAAACCTAAGAAAATCCCTTTCCCGGGTGAATTGAAAAAGATTGACTATGAGATTATCTGAACTCTTCATATTTATTTATATACTAATCAAAAATCATTTTTTAAAAAATAATTAAATAAATAAACTTGGCTGAAAGTGCTAAAATTTTAAATGTTATGTTTTTTGTATATTCTGTTTTAAAATAATTATTAACAAAATCACTAATCTTAAATAATATTATTAAGTATTAACATTAAAATATAATAAAGTGATGAGTTAAATGATAATATTTCAAAAATTTAATGTTAGTTGGCAAATTACTTATGATAATAATACTGAGATCGGCGTGATACTTAATCAAAGTTTCATATAAAACAATCTATTAAATATTAGCAATTTTTAAATAACCAGAATAGTCATAAATATAAATTATAACAAAAAAACTAATTAAAATTCGATATTTTTTTTATCATTTAAGAGATAATATACTTGAAATATAGTTCACGGAGGAACTATTTGTTACATAACATATAGATACAAAAAAAACAATTTTAATTCTTTAACTTTAGATAAGCCAAAAAAGAAAGTGATTTTTCCAAAATTACATAAAAAAACTCTTAAAATTTTAATTAAAACATTATTTTTCTAAAAAAATGTTTATTTATCGAATTGAGTTGTGGCGGTATAAATATGTTATATAATCTCACTCATTTAAATTTCGAATCCTTTCAAGATTTTCTATTATCAATTTGATATCACGTTTTTTTAATCCATAAGCATGCGCTGACGCGTATAAAGGCCAGAGATATCCCTTAAGTTATGTTATATATATTTATTCGATAAAATAGATAATAAAAAGGCGAAATATTATAAAGTCAAACTCATTAAAGAGAAATTTAGATTTATCATTTATTTTTATCAGGACATAACATTTCTTCGACACATCGTTCAAAAAAAAATGATTTTAGTCAAAATCATAATATTGTAAAAATGCTGTCTAAATTCTAATTTATTTTTGAAATTTATGAAACAATTATGATTTATCTGGATCTTTGAAACCCTGAGAAAAATTTCGCGTTTAATTCAGGTCCGGTATTTGGAATTAAAATTTGGAAAAGTTCGGGTAAAAGAGAAGGCCCAATGAACCTGATTCGGGTTCAAAGTTCAGATATAATCCTCGATTTTATATTCAAGAGGGACCTGAAATTTTATTTAATTAAACCTTTTTCAAATAAATTTATATTGAGATTTAATAAAATAAAACTAACGTTAATTATAACGTTCAGATCGTCCAGGTAGTTTTTTTCGGTGGCAAGCATTTCTTCGATTACCTTATAACAAAGGAAATCATTGTCAAATGTTTTATTGAGAGCCGATTCATCACTCCTCACATCTCCTCCAAATTCGCCATCTTTAAAAATCGACATGTTGGAACAAAATTCCTCCAAATAACTGGTCAGATTTCCATTTTGTTGTTGCTGCTTAGTTGGAAATTTATTAGTGCTTATAAGTGTATCGGGGCTTAGTCTATCCCTATCGGAGTCTATGTCTATCAATTGAGGATGACGGGCGTTATTGGAATCTATCATGGATGCTATCGAATTATTTGAAGAGAGTGAAAAATAATTTTCGGAAGAGGAGGATGGTGATAAAGATTTAGAACACGGGGAGGTACTGTTGGAGGAAAATTTACGTTCTTGATTTTCATTTATCAAATTTTGCGAGTGATTCGAATTTTCTTTACCAAAGAACTCTTCCCTCAGCCTAGTGTAGCGTTGACTTTTAGTCAGGTATCGAGGTAATTTGGTCAACAGAGAAGATTTTCTATAGGAGCCACCATTTAAGGTCAGATCTTTTTCACTCCAAGATCGCAGAAACGAGGACGATGAATGTTCCATATTCGAATCCATCCGATATTAATTATTCGTCTATTTTAATTATTAACATTTTAAAAAATTTATTAATTATAATAATAATCAAATTATGATAATAATAATGAAATAAATCCCTGGAGTTTAGTTATTCATAATATAAATAATTGGATTTTTAAAACCTTATTTTTTTTTTAGAAAAAAATTAGCCGTATTTATGAGAAAAATCAACTAAATAATACAGTCATATTAAAGTGAGAAACTTTTAATATAATAAATAGAACTAAGATTTGGCAAAAATCGAGTTTTTTTAAAATTTGGTTTTACGCTGCATAAAATAAATATTCCATATTTTTATTCAATTTTTAATCTATGTATTATTGTGACTAAAAGATCCAAGAAAGAAAAATATTCCGTATTAAGCAAAAACTGATTTGTAATATGCCTAATTAATAAATGTAGAAAGTTAAATTAAATTAAAATTTAATATAAATTTTGTAAAAACTAAATTAAAACTGTGGTTCTTTTAATAATCGCTATTTATATTTTATGCATTATTAATTTAATTATTTTTAGAGTGTAAAAAAGTCTCATATCCTCTCATTTAATAAATTGTATAAATAAAATCTTTGGCATCCTTGTTATTCAAAAAGATTAGTCTTTTGTCCAATAATAAAAAAATCGTAAAAAATAATATTAATTAGTGTAGTAAAATGTTGTATTTTTAAGAAAATCGATAGTTCGATTTATATTTTATTATCTCAGTCTAATATTATGATATACATTCAGACTGTCGAATCTTCTGATATATATAGGTTAAATATATTTAAACATGATATCCGATTATGAAGCCTTCTGAAATGCGAAAAGTGGGTTTTAAATTTCATATAATGTCATTTTATTATTTTTAAACTCTTCATATTATAATGCCACCTAATATTTTTATGTAAAAACATTTTAATTTTTACCTAAAAAAATTTAATAGCTCAGGGGTATAAAATACTTTTTACCTTATATATACATATTGCTGCTTAAATTTGAATTTCTAAACATGTCTGGTTTTTAAATAAAATCCACTAAACCGACAAGACCCTTGAGACAACTAGTACTGGTCTCCCCTATGCTTTTTTTTAAACATTGCTATGCTATACTTTTTATTTTTTATGACTATAAATTAATATAAAATATAGATTATATAAAGAACAAATTTATATTATTTTCTTTTTAGCATTCACCTTTTCTGATGGTAAGCACCTTCAATATCTCTCTCCACTTTATGTTATTCATGCTATCTCTTTTATCTAATTTATATTTCTTCATATTGGCTCTAACTTTAAAGCCCCATTGAAGTTTTGACCTTCCTCTTTTACATTTCCCCATCACTTCCAAACTCTTAACCTTATTTCCTATATAGTTCATAGGTCTTCTCATTATGTGCCATAGGCGTAGCCAGGATTTTCATAAGGGGGAGGGGGAAATTACAAAATTACTGAGGGCTTCGCTCCCAGACCCCCTTTTAGGCGGGGCTTCGGCCCGCTTTTCCCCGGCCTTCGGCCGGGTTACTTTAGTCTATATATAGTCATAAAATATTTTTACAATAATAAAAAAATAAGCCTGGAACAAATATGAAATATATTTTTATTAGTTTATATAAAATAAAAATAAAATAAATTACTTGTATTGTATATACCTTAATATAAGAGCATGGTAATAATTTATTCCAAACAATTATAAGAAATTTATTTATAAAAAGTAAGTAGACATATAGTTGATTTTACTCTATTATATAGAATTAGTTATAAAATACTAGGTAAAATTCCACTTTTACAGACATATTTGACAATTAGAGAATATATTACAGTTAATAATTTAACAAATTCTACTAATCAATGCTCTTGATATTAAATATAGCAACAATTTGCATTTAACGCCATCTATTTATTTTAACAAAAAATGATATTAAAAATAAATCTTCATTTTATTCATCCCACAATGTCTTAAGATATTTTCTGATGTCCTTATCAATATTTTAGAGTTTTCTGTTAAATATATAATTCGCTATATTGGTAAAAATTACTTGATTGTCATTTGATAATTAGATATACTGTAAATCTACGACATATAATATTCCACTGTTTGTATTGTGCTTTAATATTTTTTTAATTTATGATTTAATTTTATCAATAGTTTTATAATTATATTTTACTTTTATTAAGATAAATAAATTAAAATTACTCACTTTATAAAAAATTATATTTGATATATTATATTATTTAGTAATTTTATGGATCTATTATTAATAATTATAATACATTTCACTTCTGTCTTAAGACTTATCTTTGGCTTATATTCCATTTATTAAAAAACATTTTTGGTTCATTTTATATATTTATAAATTTATTTTCCCAAAAATCTATAAATTATGATGAATTGTTTTATAAAAAAATATCAACTTTTACATTCTTTCTTTTAAATTATTATTTAAGATATATGCATACATATTTGAGGGTCAGGGAGTGGGGGGAGGACTAAGGGGGATATTTTTTATTAGCTAAAAATGATATTTACAAAAAGTGATAAATTTCTGAAGGGGGGAATTTCCCCTTGCCCCCCCCCTGGCTACGCCTATGTTATGTGCCCATACTACCTACGTCTGTACACCATTATCTTAGTCTTAATGGGCACTACCTTTAAGCATCCTAGTATTCTTGTACTTCGCACCTTATCCTTTCTTGATATCCCAACAATCATCCTCAGCATTCTCTTCTCTTTAGTTTGTAGAATTCTCTTGCCTGATACTTTGGTTGGCCATGTTTCCCAACTATATAGTAGTTGGTTGTACTAAATTTTTCTTTTCAATTTGTGTGGGATTTTTTTGTAAAAGAGCACTCCAGATAAAGATCTCCACTTTAACCACCCTTAATTAATTTTACTCTATATCTCTTTCTCTAATGTGCCGTTTGTTTGTGTAGTGGAGCCCAAATATTTGCAGCTTTTTTTTGCCGATATCTGCCATTCATTTATATCAATGCTCTCTGTTTCATCTCCTCCTAACAACATATACTCCGTCATTTCTCTGTTTACTTTTAGTTCGTGCTTTTCTAGAATATTTATCGAACTCACTAATCTTTCTTTCATTTCATCCTTGAATTCGGCAAGTATCACAATATCATCTGCAAATATCATATTCCACGGGACTATTTGCGGTATAGACTGTTATAATACATCTATAACTATTATGAAGAGAAGTAGGCTAGAGCTGACCCTTGATGAACTCCCTCGGCTATTGTAAAGCCTGCTGAATTACCAGTTGTGTTAAGGACCATTGTTGTATGGTTATGATGTATGCTTGGAAGCCGAAAATACCAGGTTCAATCCTGATAAGGCTGTAAAAATTTTCAGGTTTTTCTTTGATGACTTATATGTAAAGACATATGATAAGATAGATTTCTGAACTTAGAAATGCCACCCCGGTCACCGACAGGCTTGGACAGCCGGGTGCTAGGACACTTGTTCAATAAACCAAATGAAAGATACAAACAAAAATTATATAATGGATTAATAAATACAATTTTAAAAAAAACAAGGCGCTAAAGAGATTAGATGATGATAATATAAAAATATTATCTAATTTAAAACCTAAATAAACATTTAAACTATTTTATAAAGATTCAGTTAGATCCTTTAAATATTTTATAAAAAGGTTTGGTTCAGGTTCATTAAAAAAGTGTATTCAAATAAAACATAATTTGATATGAAATATGGACAAGGTAAGGTTGATGATAAAAAAAAGGTTATATATCTTAAATTTATAATTCGCACGTATCGAAAAAAATTAATTATTAATATATCACTAATAAGAGCCCACAAAAAAAATGGATATTATAGTATAAATATATATTTCTTTGACGTATTGGAATTTATTAAAAAAGAATTCTACTATATTTGTTTAAACGATATGTACCTTTTTAAAATAAAAACTTTATAATAAAAATGAATATCTTGTGGCTAATAACACAACAAAGCACAATTAAACAGTAGAACTTTATGTATTATCTAATAAATAAATTTTAAAAAAATAATATCTAAGAGGCCTAAAATAATTTTAAAAGAATATTCTAATAAATTTGATTAAATAAAACTTCTTATATTATGTTAATTATGTGGTATTATATTTGGCTTTTTCGGTTGCGTCTAAATCATAAAACTTTTTGAAGGAGTATTATGCATGATATTAATATATTAACGATTCATTTTATAAGTCAGCTAAAGACGTCACTTTAATAACACTATTGAATTAATGTATCTATTAGTGGTTTACAATAAGTTAAGCATGTAAATTTTTTAATTTGAATAATATTATTGTTATAGTATAGTGAGCTTAAATAACCCAAATGCAGGATATCTTTATTTTTTTAAATGGAAATGGGGTTGCTATGGGCTCCATGATATTATAGAATAAAATGTAAGCATAATATGTAAACCATATTTGAGTAAAATAGACACTAGCCAGAAAGGAAATCATGCCGAAAAATATTTGAAGGAATTGGGTATGTAAGAAAATGAAATCCTTTATTAAAAAATTCAGATTATTTTAAATTATAAAAAAAATTTATTCGTTTTTTTATATGAAAAAGATGAAAATTATATAATATTAGTTTCTTTATTTTTATGGAAGACTTATTAATAACAAAGGAACATATGTGTCGAAAAATAAGTATTATTTTTAGGAATCTGTTTGAGGACTTTATATAAAGTTATGCATGGGCGGGCGGGCTAACTTTAAACAACGGATGGGTGAGCGAGTGAAAGTATTTAAAAACACGGTTTAAAATTTTCTGGCTAAATGAGCAAAACAACTTCTATTAATTTTTTTATTTCATAATATTGCATATTTTATAAGTTTAAGTACAATAAAATAAAACAAATAAAGAGCCAAACCAACCAATAAACTAATTTTTAAATTAAACATTAGGTGGACTGGTTAAATAAAATTTTTAGACAAATGAACGTGCAGGTGTCCGGGTTAAACCCGACTATACTTATATACTTCAAAG